TCTAATGCTTGTATATGATTGAATTGCTCATTTTCATCAAGCTATTTGGTACAAAATAAACACAACCTTCAGATGTCACAAATCTTGGAGAATAAAGGAGTCTTGGTTGCAGGGAGATTAATTCTATTGGTTTGTCATCTCCTCTGAGGCTAGCATAATCACACTAAAAACCTCAGAAGTTTTAACTATGCACAAGTTATGAGAAGTAAATGTTTTCTTTTGTCTCTTTCCTATCTTTAAAATAATGGAGTGTATTCAAGTCAGTGTAAAATTTCAGTCATGCTACAGTTACTTTTCATAATACTTAATCCTTATTTGTATTTAAAAAAAAAAGATAAGAACATGCAATTAACTCTAGATACTGGTACCTCATCCAATACTTAAAGACAAAAACAAGTTCCAATAAAATATTTAGCAAGTAGTTGGGTAGTTTAGATTGAGTCTATTTCAAGTCTATTTCCTGTTTATTTATTTATTTATTTATTTATTTATACAAGCACTGGGTACAGTCAGAAGTGCGGGAGGGTGAGAGAATTCACCAGAGCCAGAGCGGGGAGCAGAGCAGGCAGAGGGACTGAGGTACACTGCTGAGGGGAGCTGAGGGGAGCAGCAGGTGGCAGGAGAGGTCTGCGTGCCATGTGGGACCCTCCTCCGGTGGCCAGGGAGCAGCCGGGGATCGAGTCGGCGCTACAGAGGCTGCGGGCAGCTTCTCAACCCAGCGCTCAACCGCTGCGCCACTGGGGAGGCCCCCTATTTCCTGTTTAGATAAGCATCCTAGACTAATTCTATTTAGCATCCTTAAATAAGCTTTAATTCAAACTTATATTTTGGTGATATAATTCATCAAAGACAATTACACTTAGCCCATGAAGAAAAGTTCTGTATATAAGAAAATGAAAAGACAGCATTAAAAATGAAAAGGACTCTATCTTACTTAGACTTACCAACTTGAAACAAAAGCATCTAGATAGGAGAACATGTCCTAAGTGGTAGAATACCTTTGCTTTGTTCCTTTTCTAAAAATCTGTCTTAAATTCCATTTAAAAGAAAACAATGAAACATGTAAATTATATTTGTCAAGTGGACACTGGAGAGTTGTATAGATTAAAGTTTGAAGCCATACTAAATCAGAAAAGTCACATGAATGTTGAAAATCTTAATATTATAGGTTTTTGGCATAGGGTCCTGGCAAAGAAAATTAGATTTTTTTTATTTTTCTTTCTCTCCTTTTTTAATTGCAGTAACAACACTGTATGTGGTTCAGAGGCATCACATCTCTTCAGACACACGTCACACGTCACAAAAAAGATTTTTGTAAAACAAAAAAATCAAAAAATCAAAAAACAACTGATTTGTAAATGTTGTTATTTCAAAAGAAGACACATAAATCTTAGCAAGACCCTTAATAAAAGTCAAGACTGAATCTGAGGCCTGAAGCTTCAACTAACTTTGTTAATTCTTCTTATTCTCTGTGTGTGTGATTTTGTTCCTTTTTTTTTTTTTCCAGAAAAAGAGATAAAAATTCATTTCCTAAGTACAGGTTCTGTTCCAGCTATTGATATTACTACTTCACCTGAGTTGTTTCACTTAAACATCATTACAATCTATCAATAAGATGTTATTGTGCCTATTTTGAGGGGAACAATAACACTGATATTCAGAAGTTAAGTACCTTGCCCAGGTGACTCACTATTTAGCTGTTAAGAAAGAATCTGAACCCAACTCTTAGTTACTCTAAAGCCTATGCTGTTTGCCCCACAGAAAGATGCCTTTACACATTTTGCAGCTTCTGAAAGTTGTTCTGAATCCATAAGGCATAGGTAGAAATAAAAGATTCTGTGTGGAGGTTGAGACAGTAAGGCCAACCTACTCAGAGTGGGCCATGATGAGGGCAAAGTGGGTGGGATGTCCTGCTCCTCCATGTCCCCTGAGGTATAGGAGCATTATCTTCATGCTCTTGCAACTGAGGCCTGCAGCTGGATACACTCTGGATGCATTGTACTATGTCTGTGGGACATATGTAATTATTGTACAAATCGCACACTGAGTACCAGTTGCCAAGGTCTATCAATTCGAAAAGGTAAAGTTTAGTGAATTTACAGCAATGAAAAGGAGCCATTTTAAAAATGGAGTAATTTGTGTATTTTTAACATTTGCCTTTGTTTCCCCAAAGGAAAATCAAGTTGTGTAGGGAATATAAGTTGTATAGCCATGTATATGCATTTTATTAATAGCCAATTTATTTATGATCACAGTTATTTCTGATTATTTTTATTTATTTATTTTGTCTTTATTTTTACATCCTTGTTAATTTTTTCACAATATAAGATTTCTCCCCTCAGGTGGGGTCATCATAGTTTTCCTACCACCAAGCACCCATAATCTTCCACCATAGTCCATTATGCTCTCCCTCCTCCTCCCTACCTCCCAACTGCTTCCTCTCCTCTTTCTCCCTCCCCCCACCCTCCCAATGCTTCAGAACTGTGGTCAGGTTTCAAGGATCTGTTTGAAAGTTTGCCTTTGGTCCTTTATTTAATTACTTTATATTCCATATATTTCTGATCACTTTTATTCTGAGTCTTAACCAGTCATTTAACAATGAAAACATGTTATAATTTGCTTATGTATTTGTAAGTATAGTTATTTAGTAATGAAAAGTTGGGGGGAGGTAGTAAAAGGAGCAGATATATTTTATCTTTTACTCTGAGTTTTCAGATTAAAATGAAATATATCCTTTGGCCATGGAGTCCTATTCAATGAACCAACCATAATAATGGCCTTATTTACATCCATGAGATGAGATAATAGTTAAAAACTGGGTCTCATGCTGGTGCCATTTTTCATTTGGGGAATATAAGGAAAATGTGGAGAGAATACACAGCAGTCCCTGCAAGGATTGAGGACAATCCTAGGAGATTCGTATATTTAATATCTCTAAACTTATTATCATCTAACTTCTAACTTATTTCTTATTTTCACAGAATGACAAATGTATCCAGTGTCTCATTCTCTAAATTTGTGTTTAAAAATAGTTAATCTGGGGGTCATTTGTGTGAACTTTCTTGTGTAGCAGATGGAACATTGAAATAAAATATAATCTCTCTAAGATAAAATTTAACAACAATTACTCCATAGGTTTAATCCATAGGCTAACTAGAAATTCTTTTTAAGTGAATGTTAATTAAATTTTCTCCCAGAGATCACTCTTTTGGAGAATATTTCTCAAGAAATGGAGCCAGATGGCTTATCATTATCCACCAGACCACAGTAATAAGTTAATTTGGACAAATTGCCACATACACATCCAGCCTTGGCAACCTTTAATTTCTAATAGATTTAAAAGCACCCATTAAGGCAACGTGGAGGAGAAAGGACTATAAATAGCTGAAATCCTTTTTCAGAAGGATTTTTTGAAAACTAGAACCTTTGGTACATCTTATACAAAATACTAATAGTAGGAAGCAGGATGCAGTAGAAGGTAAAATGACACTTAAAAAACTGTAATTAAGAATTTACCCATTTTCTGAAGTTGAAGTGGAGCTTATTTTTGAATAGCATATTTGCGGTAAATATAATATACATTCTGTGAATATAAAATATTTAAAACCAAGTAAGATAAAAATTAGTTAATTTACTTAAGGATAAAAAGAAAGTTGAGGGCAGAATCTACTGTAGCTTTAGAGGTATATAATATTACAAGATTCTTGGTTTTCTATAAATTTCAAGGACTGTATTTATTAGTTCAATTCTTTTTACCAATCTTAGTTGGAGTTCATTGTCTGACATCAGAGAATGGTGTCATTGTATCTTAACTAATGGGAGATGTGATTAAAAGTTTCTGTCTACTTTTCTTTGTAAATTGTTGCTAAAAACAGAATTAAAACTTAAAATCCTTAATCTACTAATTAGGCTGTCAACCTTGTCACACACTTGTTTTATCCATACCCATAGGCAATTATCTATGATAATGTCTACAGTGAACAAAAGAAAAACTGTAATTTGAACATGTTAAACTATAGATTCTTGAGTTCTTTAAAAAAATTATTAAACCTTGACAATATTCCTGTTACAACCTTGAGACAGGTAAATTTTATTATAGTTGCTTTGGAAATTGATCCAAAAGACTAAGTCAAGTATATTTAGGATAAGTAGAATACAATGCAATGATTATCACTTTTTATTATGAGTTTATTAAAATAAACACAACTTTATATTAATATCACAAGAGCATCTCTGTCTGAAAAGGTGCATTTACTTGCCTATGTGAACAGTTCATACAGGAAAAACAAAGCTATAGCTACATGTTACTGGCTTCCAGGAGTTAGGGTGAAAGTGGAGAAGTGGTTGATAAAAATAATTTGACCTTTTTAAAATAAGAAGTAAATACAAATCATTAAATCTTTCCAGATTTCAATCTTCTCTCTGTGAAATGAAGAAATTTCACTCCAGCAGCATGTGTACTAAAGTTGAAATGAGGGCCTCCCCGGTGGCACAGCGGGGCTGGGCTGGGCGCTGGGCTGCAAAGCTGCCTGAAGCCTCTGCAGCGCTGGTTTGATCCCCGGCCGCTGGGCGAGGGTCCCACATGGCGCGCAGACCCCTCCTGCCGCCCGCTGCTCCCCTCAGCAGTGTACTTCGGTCCTTCTGCCTGCTCTGCTCCCTGCTCTGGCTCTGGTGAATTCTCTCACCCTCCTGCGCTTCTGACTGTATCCAGTGCTTGTATAAATAAATAAATCTTAAAATAATAATAATAATAATAAAGTTGAAATGATACAGGGGCCCCCCTGGTGGTGCAGGGGTTAAAGACAGGGTTGTCAGTTAAACACTGGCCAGGGAGGGGACCCACATGGCACAGCAGACCTCTCCTGTCTCGCCTGCTGCTCCTCTCAGCAGTGTATTTCAGTAGATCTGCCTGTTCTGCTCCCCACTCTACCCACTCTCTCTGGTAAATTCTCTCACCCTCCCATACCTCTGTCCTGTACCCCAGTTCTTGTATGCACAAATAAAAATAAATCTTTAAAAACAAAAAGTTGGAATGATTCAGAGAAGACTCGCATGGCCCCTGGGCAAGGATGACACACAAATTCATGAAGCATTTGATATTTTTAAGATAAGGAAAAAAAATATGGTTTAGATGGCTTCAAAGTCCCTTCCAATTTTAATCATTTGTGAATTATATAAAAATTATTCTCACACAGAAGTTGTAGGTCCCTTAAGTTGTGTAATGTGCTCTTCTAAGGAAGGTCCAGCAGTGCAGTGGACAAAACCATACACGGAGACTCAGAACTAGATGCACACATATTAAAGAGGGAAAAGGTAAAGCTTGAAGTGTCCAGATTCCTAGCATTTGTTGGCTTTTCTGATCACACTGCTGAACTATTTGTAGTATCTCCAGAGAAGAACGAGTCACATATCTCTTCTTGAGTCATAACTAATCACTTAAGAATAATTTGGACCCAGTATACATGTTGACAGAATGAATGACTAGATGAGCAGGTAAACACCTCATCTGTCATCCTTTGGTGGAAGTTAATAAATATTGGGTAGCTCTCTACTCTTAAATATTTAGGCTTGCATTTACCCTCATTTTTATCCCAAATCAAGATCTTCATGTTCTGTGAATATGTATGTATAAAGATGCATATACCAACACATGTATTTATATGGATAGATGCATTTCTACTGCTAGATTCTTTTTAAAGAGGATTTATTTTTATTTATGCATATAAGAATTGGAGTGTAGGCCAGAGGTGTGTGTATGGGGTGGGTGTGGGGTTGACAGGATTCACCAGAGACAGAGTAGGGAGCAGAATAGGCAGATCTACAGAAACATACTGCTGAGGGGAGCAGCAGGTGAGAGACAGGAGAGGTCTGCTGTGCCATGTGGGTCAGCTCCCTGGCTGGGGGATAGAACTAGTGTTTCAATGGCTGGGATAGCTTGATAGTGCTGAGACTTTAACCCCTGTGCCACCAGGGAGGCCCGATGCATTTACTCATTAAAGGAAGTTAAAAATATATATATATTTATATATCTGTATCTCTCTATATATTTCATGTGACAATATAAAACTAAAATATATCAGTTCATTAAATTAATTTTGATCATTTTTCCTCTCCACTGGTTATATTTGAACCTTTGAAAACCCATGTGAAACTTCAGGTAAATTAGAAAAAGGTGCCCTCTCAGAAGATATGCCCCATAAGTGTGGGGCTTGGAGAGGTGTCAGTAGCTTTTAATAAATTAGAAAAAGGCCTCCTTTCCTCAGGTGCCACAGCTCCCCTCCAGCACTTAGAGATCTGAGAATAGGCTGGATGTCACTGCTTAAGTGTCCTTTTGTTTGAGAGCCCTTGGGCAAGGCAGATCCTGGCCAACTGTGGCCCTGGGTTATACAGTTAACAAGAGGAGTCAGCCCAATTTCCTGGAAGCTCACAAAATCCAGTCCTCTCCAGTGGTGACATGATCTTTGAGGTGTGCCTCTAGGTGGAGCCTGGGGTTACCTGGAACACTCAGAAGCTGAGCATTTCCTAAGCCCACTATGGGCATTCTGCTGGGGGAGGTGAGAACATATAGTGAAGTAGAGGCACTACCTTCAGAGTGCACAGTGTAGTTGGAAAGACAAAGCAAAACCAGATAGTGTGATGTTACCTGGAAGTCAAGTTCTGAATATACAACATTTGTTTCTTTTCTCTTCCCTGCTTTATAGACAAAAAGGAGATTAGAAAGGAGAATTTTGAATGTATCTATCTAAGGTAACAGGTATTTAAAACATACCTAATCTACAAAGAGCAATTTGCAAAATGTTTTGTCTAGCGCTCACTGTGAAGAAACAGCTGCAAGAGAAGTTGTTTTGTGCAAACAGTTGGGGAGGTTTCCTAGAGTAAGGCCTTACCGTCCTGTCACATAAATGGTTAGGGAAGATTGGGGTGAATATTCCAGTATTGGGATATTGTGTAGGCAAAGCACAAAAAGAGAATTTTTTACAGATATTTGCAGAATTGCAAGAAATCCCAGGGCAGCGCATTTAGGTTGGGTTATTCAGGGAGACGCAGGTAGGGCAAGACCAGACTGGGGTCTGCCTTTCCATGCTCTTCAGCTAATCACAAGCCGAAAAGTTCCTCAGAGATCTGAGTGGATTGGTGGCAGTGGAGCAGGCTTCTTCAGTGTGAAATGTTCAGGGATCCTGGCCAACATTATACCAGACTAACAAAACAATTAGCCAGCTAAGACACACATGTTCTCTCACACATGGGCACAGCTCTCAAGAAGGAAACAATCCTGATATGTAATCTCAGGCCTGTGTCATGTTCTCCCACTTCAAAGGAGACTCCATTGAGGGGAAGTATTATAAGCGGGAAGTTTTCCAGAAGAGTGTTAAAATATTGACTCCTGCAGAATTGTAACCCAGAGAGAAATGCTCTCCTCAAACAACAAAATAATTTACAAAGTGACTTGAAGTCAGTCAGAGAGAAAGCAGAGTTTGGGAGGTGAGCCAAGGGGCCTGCATTTCTGTAATGCTTGTTCTGGTGCCAGTGATAAACATTAGTGCATCCCTTCAGCCTTCTGCCCGCTGGAGAGCTATCTAAGTGGCTGCAGTGCTCTCTAAACATAAATAATCTTAATCTTCAAATGAGCGGGAGATACATGGGAACAAGATTGGAGGACTTTCTTAGCCCTTTATGGAAACTTCCAAAGGAATAGACTTCATCCACGATGGAAGATTCTCTCGGAGTAAAAGTCTCTGGAGACCTGGGCATATCTCTGAGCATTTTAACCAGATTGGATTGCTCTTTTCCCATAATAGAATTCTCCAAGCCACAGAAGCTTTGGAAGAAGTGAAGGCTGAACCAGATTCAAAGGTGCTGGTAGTTCAAAGGTCATAAAATTAACCTTCACTTGTGATGAAGAAATGACCTTTACCTGCATATGTGTGATGGCCACATGGACAAGTTAATCTATTTTTCCTCAAGAATTTTGATGGCGGCAAGGATGCAATCGTCATTAAGTATATATTATATATAACAACTTTAGATAAACAAGTCATTTTTCCCCATCACCATCTCTTGCATCCCGTTGTCCTTTTCTGGTTCTCTCCCTCTTTACTCCAGAGTCCTCAGGATATTTGTTGATGTTTACTATTTTTAGAAACTGTTTTGCATCATCAAATTCTCTGGTATGTAAATTCCAGTATTTGTTTTTTAATCATTCTGACTTACTTTGCTGCACATAATTCTTTCTAATTCCCTTCATGTTGTTGAAAATGGCTGCATTTCTTTCTTATGGCTTTATAAATACTCCTTGGTGTGGACATACCACTTCTTTTTTTTTCTTAAAGATTTATTTATTTATTTATACAAGAACCAGGGTACAGGCCAGAGGCGCGGGAGGGTGAGAGGATTCACCAGAGACAGAGCGGGGAACAGAACAGGCAGACTGATGAAATACATTGCTGAGGGGAGAAGCGGGTGAGACAGGAGAGATCTGCTCACCATGTGGGACCCTTGCCGGCTGGCCAGGATGGAACCCATGCTGCAGAAGCTGCAGAGAGTTTCACAGCGCTGTGCTCAACTGCCTTCGCCACCAGGGGAGGCCCACCACTTCTTCTTGATCCAGTCATGCCATGAGGGACATCTAGGCTGCTTTCATATCCTAGATATTGTAAATAATGATGCTATGTACATTGTAGAATATCTGGGTTTTTCTTTTTGTGTGTGCAGTTTCATGTTCTTTGGATATATACCCAAGAAGGGAAATGCTGGGTTGTATGGCATTTCCATTTTCAGTTTAAGGTAGAGATACACAAGTTATTAATTAGCAATTTTAATTCACATGGAATGGAAACATGTGAATTAAAATTTTGATATTTGAAAATACCTTTGTTCTGAATGGGAAAAACACTAAATGTGTAAAATCTGAACCCTTCCTAAAGGCACTGTTAGCAGTATAGATCAGGCCGCTTACTTCAAATTATCTGCAAGAGAGTGCGGTTCAGGATGCAAACTATTCAATTATGAATAATCTTGGATAATAATACTTTCTCTTCTAATTAGATTCAGAAGACTGAGAAAGAGAGGGCAAGAAAGGCCAAAGAAAGGGTTGAGAGAAAAGGGAAATAAATCTCTGAGGAGAGAGCGGGCAGCTTTTCCACATTTACTTATTCTTGCATAAGTTCAATGTCCAGTTGAGAAATGCTGCATCAACAACGGATTTTGGGAGGTCAAATTGTGGATTTATAATATCCTTATATTCCTTGAACTGCTCTTCACCTGACATAAAAGCAGATGCTTAGAAATCATCCCAAGAGGTGAGAAGTGCTTTCTTGAGAGTTAAAAAAAGAGGCCACTTAGGAATGTATTATTATGCAAATATCTACTGGAAACACTTTTAGTGTGAATTAGTGGGAGGCAAGATCACACATAAACACAAGTTTTCCTTTGCTGAAATTCCAGACCTGATTTGGCATAGGTTTCTCCTCCATCCCTCTGGTTTGTTGGGCTCAGTTTCATTATATTCTTTTGTATGTTGATATATTGAGATCATGCTCAGTTTTAGGTCATAAAAGAAGTTATCTTGAAAAGTAATAATTTAGTAAGGGTCTCTATGAATGTAGCAAAGAAAACACAAGAAAAGCATTCTTGCCTTTCCTCCTCACTCCTCTCCATCCCAACCAGGTTCCCTAAAAGGCAAAGTAACAATGTGAAAAGAAGCTTTCAGTTCTTTCTATAGCGACAAAGGATGCTAATGGAGTTCAGAATCTCCATTTTGCTTGACATCTTCCTCCTTCTTCCCACCAGCCTAGTTGTTAAGGTATTCTTCCATGGAGACCCTGCTGGGCTGTTAGGAAGTAAGAAGCATTAGCACACCCCTCACTATCTTTCAGAGGCCAATTAGCCAGTTTGGAATATCCAGACCCTGAGTTCCTTTCATTTCTTTTAGCAGCTTGCCTTTTGGTCATTTACCATGCTTCATTAAGAGAAGCAAAGCGCAGATCTGTCCATTTGGCTCACCCCTAGGAGCTCTGATGGGAGTTTTCTTGGGGAAAGGCAATTGAAGTCATTGAAGGGAGATGTGGGGATTATCCATGGATTAGAATTATCTAAATCAGTGGC